GCAGTCATTTTGTTTTCCAGTCGCACAACCGCACCTGGGTGCACATGACCACGCGAGATCAGGGTCCTGTGGTCGGAGGGGTCCTGCTTGACTGTTGCGTCTGTACGAATGTATGGTTCTCATTTTTCGTTTTGTCTTTCTTCTGTTGTACAGGGGTGGTGTCGTCTCGAACACGGAGGTCCTCCAAATATCCAGAACACATATTGCAGAAAGTCCCCGGGTTGAGTAAAAAACACAAGGATATGTTAAAGGCATCAGGGGTTGATGTCGAGATCGGGAAGAAGGAGTACACCGTTGCCATTGCGGAATGTCTTTCCCTTCTTGCCCCAGAGAAAGGGACATATCCACGATCTGTGAGTACGGGTCAGGCCATGTATGAGAAGTACTTAGCAACGCGTCATGCACCAGGGGACAATGTCTAGAACTCCGTTTCTCACTACCCCACGTGTCCTTTGCTCGATGTTGTGCAGTGCGGGCAACAAGTGCAGCACGCGGGAAAAGTTTCGCTGCGACGATTGCGCCTCTGAGCTTGCGGGTTTTGGACGACATTGTACGACGCTCGGTGCCGTCTAATACTATTCTCTCTATACTGGGCGATGGTCAATTTCGGATTGCAGCAGAAGATCTCCTCACCCTCTTCCATGTCAACGGCAGGGTGAATGATGAGGTCGTCAATTTCTATATGGCGTTGTTGGGGTCAACCGCATGTGGGTCACGTGACATCTCTTCAGGCCTTCAAGTCTTCAACTTTAATTCGTTCTTCTTCAGTAAACTGCGGCATCAAGGACACGGTGGGGTGCAGAGGTGGGCTAAAAACGTAGATTTGCTTCGTTACGATATTATCTTCGTTCCTGTCCACAAAGATGATGATCATTGGATCCTCGTTTCCGTCAACATGAGAGATGATATTATCGAAATTTTTGATTCTTTTCCTCGCATTGTAGCTGATTCTAGGTTTTACTTTAGTGTTTTCGGGTTGATTGTGCAGTATTTGGATCGTCAAACACCACATAGGCGGTCAGGTAGGAATTGGAAGTCCATGGTGGGAAATGTTGTGGTGGATGGAGTTCCGAGACAAGTGGATGGAGCAAACTTTGGTCTGTTCATGTTGATGTATGCAACGTTGTTGCAACATGGAGATTGACCGCCTTTCCGGTTCTCTTGTAAAGATATTCTGCTTCTTAGACGACAAATAGCATCATGTGTCTTAGAACATCGTTGTCTTTGATGGATTTGATTGACTTCGAAATTTTTTTTTAAGGTGTTTCATTCATTAATCGTTAAATTTTGTAAATCGATACATTATTCAACTGTCCTTCTGCCAGAGGCATTGCTTAATTTTATCGTTCCGAGTTCGCGTTATCTACGGCATGCATGTGTCTTAGAACATCGTTGTCTTTGATGAATTTGATTGACTTCGAAATTTTTTTTTAAGGTGTTTCATTCGTTGATCGTTAAATTTCGTAAATCGAGACATTATTCAACTGTCCTTCTGCCAGAGGCATTGGTTTCTTTTATCGTTCCTAGTTCACGTTATCTACGACAAGCTCAATGCATATCCTGCGTCATGTATGGACTTTGTAATCTATGTCACGTAATGTTCCATGTTCCGAATTCTGTTCAAGTTGAAGTATTGTGTTCCATGTTTCGAATTTTGTTCAACTGGAAGTGTAAACATGATTGTAAAACTGGTTGGTGGATGAATGAGAAATCTCATCTTATGTGAAATTGGTCATTGGATGCCCAAACCTTCTTTGCATGACCATTTAAAATTCGGGTATTCATCGTGATGGAGCACAATTTAATCTAATTCAATCTAATTACATTGCTAATTTTGTTTACTAAAGTTCAACAACTATGGATGTCCGCAAACTTTCGCATTTGGGGCGACTGGGCAGGCATACCCATGTACAAACACTGCAGTCAAAAATGAATTCATAAGAAAGAGGACAGTGTCACAATATAGTTACTGTATCTTTCATCACTCTTACGAAATTGAAGTTCGACAAGTTAGGATCACGGCACACTTTCGCACAGGGTTCCCTTTGACGTGCCAATCGTTGTTCGTTTATGAAGTTTGACTAGTATGGACCCCAACACACTTCCCCACTGGATTATCAACATGTTTTTGAAGTTCAACAAGTAAGGATCCCAACACACTTCCACATTTGGGATTTTATTTATGAGGTTTCACAAGTATGGATCTCAGCACACTTCTGCATGTGGTTAACCAATGGATGGGCATGCCTACGTTGCTTAGGCTACAGCCAAAATTAACTCGTTAGAAAGAGGACACAGTATAATGTCCTATTTCAACGAATAACGTGTTCCACGCCAAACCCACGCCAAACCCACGCCAAACCCCACGCCAAACCAACGCCAAACCCACGCCAAAATCATGGGTTACTAGTGGGCGTGGGTTTGGCGTTGGTTTGGCGTGAGTTTGGTGTGGGTTTGGGTTACTAGTAAGCGTTACTAGTAACCCAAACCCATGGGTTACTAGTAGGCGTGGGTTTGGTGTGGGTTTGGGTTACTAGTGGGTTTTGCGTGGGTTTGGCGTAAGTTTTGCGTGGGTTTGGCATCCAAATCCACGCCCACTAGTAACCCAAGGGTGTGGGTTACTAGTAACGACCATTAGTTAGCGTGGGTTTGGCGTGGGTTTGGTGTGGGTTTGGGTTACTAGTGGGCGTGGGTTTGGGTTACTAGTGGGCGTGGGTTCGGGTTACTAGTGGGCATTATTAGTAACCCAAACTCACGAGTTACTAATGGGCGTGGGTTTGAAAACCCACGCCAAACCCACGCCAAATGCACGCCAAACCCATGCGAAACCCACGACCACTAGTAACCCAAACCCACACCAAACCGACGCCCAACCCACGCCAAACCCACGCAAAACCCACGCCCACTAGTAACCCATAGCGTGGATTTGGCATGGATTTGGCTTGGGTTTGACGTGGGTTTGGTGTGGGTTTGGGTTACTAGTGGGCGTGGGCTTCGCGTGGGTTTGGGTTACTAGTGGGCGTTACTAGTAACCCGTGGGTTTGGCGCGTTACTAGTAACCCAAGCCCAGGGGTTACTAGTGGGCGTGGGTTTGGCGTGGGTTTGGCATGGGTTTGGTGTGGGTTGGGTTACTCGTGGGCGTTACTAGTAACCCAAACCCACCCCAAACCCACGCCAAACCCACACCAAACCCACGCCAAACCCGCGCCAAACCCACGCCAAACCCACGCCCACTAGTAACCCATGGGTTTGGCGTGGGTTAGG